ACTTCCCCTACCCCGCCACCTCTTTTTTCACGAGAGTCTGTTCCTTTGCTTGAACTAAAAACCATAAAACATATATTCAAAGTTGAAAGTGCATGCCAAATTCTATTCCTGGTTCTATTGGTGCTTAAACACATTATGAAGTTTTCCATTAGAATAAATTGCTTATGCTAAGATGTGATAAAATTATTAGAGAAAACTCAGCAAGGAGCAATCTTGAAACAACACTATTGATTATTATAAAAGAATAACAATCTTTCAGTCAGAAATATTGTGCTACAAAGTTGTGATCCTGAAATTTTCAGGGAGAAATGGCACATCAATCACAATATGATCTGCACAGTCGGTAACAAAGAAGATGTCCAATTTTTAATTTTTAACCATCTTAAATTATAAAAGTACATTTTGCATTGTCAAGTCTGATGATTTATTTTGATATATTTTACCCAGTGTTACTTGTAAGGTTACTTAAGTGCTAGCTTGTTACACACCACTCTGCACCCACCCCTCAAGCATGTTTTGCTTTTGTTCTCATTGTGTTTAACCCTTTCACTCCCAGAAGTGATTAACATGTAACTTCTCCCTATAATATCCATACATTATCCAACAAACAGGAAGTGAGAATACTCAAACTTATCAGGTAGAAGTTTTTACCTTGATTGAACACCAAATTCTTGCAACCAATTTACAAGGAAATGTGTAGCAGCTAGAATGGAGAATTAACTAACAGATCTTGTGAGTTAAAGGGTTAATAAAGGATCTTACTTACTTACTTACTTACTTTATTCAACATTAAGTATGCAAAAATGCAAATGAAAATTATAATTTTGAGATTAACACAATTTTTTTTTACAGAGGGTTGTATATTCTCTAAAGATAAACACAGCAGTAGAAATAATATTCAATCAGCTGTTCATATGGCACAGTTTTTCAGTTAAATGACTTTTCCTTATAAATAACCCGTTATCCCCTGAGAGCGACTAGCATCTAATTTCTTCCCCCAATATCACCCATGGGTGAAACATTTAGGTCACGAGAATAAAGGAAATAATCACCAAATACAAAGCCTCAGAAAATGTATAGAGAACAGTATGGAGAATATGCATACTGAAGTTAGGGTGTATAGATAAAATTGTTTAAATTGAAGAAGGATCGATGTTTGTATGTCGGCATGGTGGAGAACCCTATCGATCTTTCAATGATCGGTTAGACTTGGTTATGATTGTTCCAAAAACCCTTTTCAACCATTCTCTTAAACATTGAAGTTTAAATAGAGAAAATTTTTTACCTTCCTCTGGATCTCTGTTTTATTATGGTCACGAAAGCTAACCATGTGGCCATGAAGGTCGAGGTGATTCTCCAAGGACACTGCCATCGTTATAAGAGAAATTATTTGAAAAACTTTCTTCACCGTCAAAACTTCACACCTCGCTTTCCTCTTCCACAACAACAACAACATCAAAATTTACAAAAATCACCACCAAAACTAACTCAGCACCGCTAATCTTGGAGTCACTTCGTTGAGCCTTCGCTGATCTGATAAATAACCGCTGGACAGTATTCCTGTTAGTGAAGCTTCGTAGGAGCAAAAATGCCTGTGAAGGAGAGGGAAAAATTTTTTTCTGCAAGGGTAAAAGTGATTGACCCTCTATTTCTTGTCCTTCCTCCTTACAACTACTCTTTTACCTGAATCAAGTTAAAAAAGATGTTTTAAGTCTTAACAAGAAAAAACGTATATTAAAGAATTTAAATAAGAAAAGTTTTTCTCCCTATAACTTCTACACAAATCAAAAATGAAATTCCGTGATAGAACCTCTATGAACGCGTAAAATGGAAGCTAATAAAAGTTTTGATGATCCAATTCTTGCTGATGTTTGAAGTTTTCGCTCATTTCCTTGCAAATTAGTCTGAAAAGTATGGTGTTTTACGCAGTTTTCAAATGACTGGCATAACCCAAAACCAAAGTTATCACAACGGTCAATCGTTAGCCATTGAGGACTCAAAGTAAAACAAAGCAAAACTACCAAAAGCCCAAGAAAACGCAGGGGAACAAGTCACGCTTGGTTTTTGTTTGGCCTATGATTGGTTCGATTTCAGAGCAGAGCGCGAGTTTTTGGACCAATCACAGACTGAGGTAAAGCAAAACCAAAACCATCCGGTTTACTTTCGATACTCATGAAAATTTAATACCCAACCAGAATTGAACCCCCACAGTTGTTAGTTACACTCAATATAAGATTTTTGGAGAAACCTGCATCGTAAACAACCTCTTGGATTCAAATGGTGAACTATCCTATAGAAAGATTCTTATCAACAACCAGCGTCAAAATTAGTTGACACACTGCATGTCGGAAAATTTACATCTATGTGAACAATAACCTTTTTTCTACCTCACTAGAGATCATTAACGGCCCCCTCCCCCATTGAATGTTGGTTAAAAGTTCCGCATCGAATCAGGATACAACATTGTTTCGGGGGGAGGGGGCGAATAGTTTAACTAAAGAGGGGCAAAAGAGAAAATTAAAGTACTAAGGGGTTGAAAAGGTCAATGTGTTAAAAATTTTGTTCCGGATTAAAGCTATCAAAACAAAGGTCATTTGCATTATTGTTTAACTCTATTTGAAATGATGCAATTTATCATTAATCTCTTATTAGGAAACTTAACTCTGAAATCAAACAAGGAGGCAGTCGCTAAAGCGATTTTTCAGCGGTTCAAACGGGAAACCCCAGCAGACGGACCAGAAGATTATCCAGACCCTCCATTTAATTTTACAGACTTATCGTACAATTATACGTACCTGCTGCCATTCAACTTTACGGACATTTTTGGAAATAATTTACCATTCAACTACACAGACATCTTCGGTAACAATTCTCCAGTCAACTTCACAGACATCTTTGGTAAAAACTCGCCGTTCAACTACACAGACATTTTCGGAAATGGTTTACCTCCGTTTAATTTCTCGGCTTACATGGAGGAGGCTTTGAAAGAGTTCACCATTGGCTTGCAGGCAATGCTTCAAAATAGCTTCAACGCTTGCGCATGCTCACAAGGACCACCTGGACCGCCGGGAGAACGAGGATTCATGGGTCCACCAGGAATTAGAGGAAAAATTGGATTCAAAGGAGATGCCGGACCACCAGGTACCCCAGGGATGAATGGGGATACTGGCCCACCGGGTGCTCCAGGTTTTAAGGGAGATTCCGGGCCACAAGGTATCCCGGGAATGAAGGGCGAACCAGGCGAAACATGTTCTGCGCCGAAAGTAACGATCTCTTCAAGGAAACTGACTGTTTTGAAAGGAACTACTGCTTCCTTTAGATGCTCTGCTAGTGGGAACCCATGGCCTCGAGTATCCTGGTCTAAGGCTGACGGATCATTACTGAACAAAAACACCACGGTGACGTCAGATGGGCTCATAAAGATTCCCTCCGCCCGGCTGATGGATGCAGGGAAGTACATTTGTACGGCGGAGAATATTGTGAGGAAGATTGAGGAAACAGTTGCTCTGGTTGTACAAAGTAGGATGCAATTATTTGTGACTACTATTTAAAAAAAATGCACTCCAAATTAGATTTTAACTTTGAACCACCTTACGTATGTTAAATGTACAAAATAGGTTCTGTACGTGCAACGTTCTTATATGTTACTGCTCGTTACTCCCCTATCTTGAAGTTTCTTCGAGATAAGTGACGTTCGATTTACAATGTTTTCAATTTTTGAAAGCTTAAAGATTCCGTCACATTTTAATGTTTCCTTGTCATTAGCTTTAGTTGTGCTTTCGCTTGCGATGATGTCCACTCTTACATAAAATAAAACAAGTTCTGTCGGTATATCGGTTCACGATTTCTCTCACGATTTTTGAAGATTCTCAGTTTTGAATCGAAAATGACAGGGGGAAATTGACAGAAAACAGTGGTTAATGGCTAACCATTCTGCATTTTCTAGTACATGTGATTTTACTGAACCTTAGGCTCCTAAACTCCGATGCAGTATATTATAGTCATATTGTAGAGAGACTTACATTTAATCTCTTATTTGAGTGGAATTAGGTTTAAACACTGCATGACAAGTCACTATCCAGTACCTTTGTTTTCTTTCATATACGTTCTCATGCAAATAGGACAGAACACAAACCATGATACTGGAATCTAAAAACAATGTTCCTTATTGTTTCTCGCTAGGTCCGCCAGAGGTTTCACTTTCATTTGGACCATCTTTTGTTCTCGAGGGCAGAGCCATCACTCTACCAACATGTAACGTAAATAATAGCGTTCCTCCAGCAGTGCTAACTTGGTTTAAAGTTGATGACGTTCTGAACGAAGATAGAGCCGTCACCGAAAATGGGCAATTGTCAATAACGAATGCTAGAATGGAGGACTCTGGTTTGTACGAATGCATGGCTTCTAATGGTATTGGATCTCATTCGGCTTTCACCGAACTGACTGTGGTGACAATGCCAAGGTTTACGGTTCGTCCGCCGACCAAACTTGAAGCGACTTCAAACAAAACTATCACCGTCCGTTGCCATGCAGCCGGCCAACCCAAACCTTTTATCACGTGGGCGAAGGAGGGTGGTGAGTTACCCAGAGGAAGATCAAATGTGAGCGAAGATGGAACACTTCAGATCTGGAGCCCTGAAAGTGACGACTCGGGGAAGTATACTTGTACCGCATCGCTGAAAGAGATTCAGTCCGTTAATGTGGTCTCTGTCATGCAACTAACCGTAAAGATCAAGAAAAGAGGTAAATCACCGACGAAGTAGTTATCTCATGAACTGAACGTTTGAGTCAAACACAGGAATGTAAAGCTCTGACCCTCCCTCCCCCTCCCCTCCCCCTCCCTCTCCCCCTC